TGTGACCACCAAATGCCTTAATACACGCAAAAACTCTTCGACGCACAGAAGGAGGGCCAAGATCAGTTCTTGCCGGTTGGCTGGAGAGTGTGGTCGTTGCCGAACACGACGATCCATCAAGTCCCAGATGAGTTCTATGGGGGACATGTCGGGTGAGCGTGCAGGCCACGGCAGGTCGTTGACGTTGTTGGCTGCGAGGAAGTTAATGACAATTCTGGGTGTATGGGCTCTAGCGTTGTCATGTCGTGGCTGCTGTTGGAGAAATGATAGGACAGCTGGACGAAGAATGTTATACATGTAACGCTAAGCTGTCAAGTTTCCGTCAACGATGACCAGCGGTGTCCTCTCCTGCCCACAGATCCCTCCCCACACCATGACACTCCCTCCACCATATGGTTCGACCTCCTGCACGCAACGCGCCGCCGTTCGTTCACCCCTTCGGCGGTAAACACGTTGTCTTCCATCAGCCCTAAACATACAGAATCGACTTTCGTCAGTGAAGACAACCCTCTGCCAGTCACGTCGTTGCCAACGTCGTACAGTCCGGGCCCTTCTCAATCGCAGACGACGATGTTGCGCTGTCAATAGCTGTCCTCTGTATGGTCTAAAAGCCCTGATTCCATTAGCCATGAGTCTCCTGGCCACTGTCTGTCGACTAACCCTGTGACCTAAGGCATTTGTCGCCGATGACGTCACTGTCAGGAAGCGATTTCGGAGGTGCAAGGTACGCAAGTACGGGTCATCATGGGGCGTGGTCACCCTGGGTCTGCCTGTTCTTGGCCTGTCAGCGGTCCGCCCTGTCTGTCTGACACATTCCATTAAGTTGGTAACGGCAACACGGAAGCAACCGAAGGTTCGTGCAATATGGGCGTGGGTGGCTCCCATCTGTACCATACCCAAGGCTCGTTCACGTTGTTCGACTGTGAGTCATGGCATTTCGAACTAGTCTCGAACTAGTGTGTGTGTGTGTGTGTGTGTGTGTGTGTGTGCGCGCGCGCGTGTGTGTGTGTGTGTGTGTGTGTGTGTGTGTGTGTGTGTGTGTGTGTGTGTGTGTGTGTGTGTGTGTGTGTGTGTGTGTGTGTGCACGTGTGTGTGTGTGCACGTGTGTGTGTGCACGTGTGTGTGTGTCAAAAGCTTTAGAGAAGTCAATTAAAAAAACAATACATTCGTTCACCCGACTCATACATACACGTCTTGCATACAGTTGTATGTCCCTTTCTAATTCCTGTTTGATTTTCATGTATTTATTATTGTCATTTGGGACCACTGTTGTAACCTTTCATTCAGTATTTGGTGAAGACTTTTCCGATCACCGGTAATAGTGATATTCCTCTGTCGTTATTCATGTCATCCGGTGTTCCTGTTTTGTGAAGCGCGCATATAATTGCTTTACACCAACCATCAGGGTAATGTCCAGAGTCAAGAATTTATTGAAGAGACGTAAAAGGATAGGAGTGATTATATCAACAGTACGACAAAGTATTTCTGATGTTGTGCCGTCACAGCCTGGCGATTTCTTCTCTTCCTTTAATGGACCTAGTTACCACTTGTAATGTATTGAGATAATATGATGTTCTTTAATGTAAAGTTTGCACACTGACTGTCATGAAATAGAATTTCTTTCACTGTATCATCAATTATGGTACTGGACATCTGTTCGCTGTTTAGACCGCCTCCGTGGTCTAGAGATAGAGCGTCCGCCCGGAGAGAGGAAGGTCTGGGGTTCGATCCCCAGCTGCGTCATAAGAAGACGTTAAAAGATGCTACTTGTTGTTATCCTGTCTGGCGTTCGGCTTAAAGGGGCTAAAACAAGGACTGGTCGGCTCGGAGTCAGTATACTGTGTCTGAGTAGGGTATTCATGTTAAACTGCGGCATGGTATCTCAGTGAGCTAGCACTATAAATCGGCATCAGTCCGGACTAGTACAAGCAGCCACACACACAAACGTACATGCACGTCGCTATATAAGTGTAATAATCTTGGGCGCGACTTTAAAGCCAATTTCGACTCACCTCACCTGTTCGCTGTTTAACAAGTTTTTCAAAGTGTTTAAGCCAATCATTTGCTGATATGCTGTTTGTAGTTTTCCTCAAATTCTTCTGTTCATTAGTGTGCTTATTGTGTTCCAAGACTGTATGACAAGAGGGAGGACTTCAACTTTCCAATAGTCAACTTTCCCTTCATGTCGACCAATATTCCAGCGGCTCCAGCCTTTGGTGTTGACATTTCACAACCTTTGAGGTACAATCGAGCATGCTCTTTCTACCAAGATTTCAAGGAATCATACGACTCCTGCTCAGAAGTTGTTTGATCAAGGTTACAACATTCAAGGCCTCAGTTAAGCTTTCAAAAGGTTTAATGGTAGACATGTGAAGGACATTTCCAATTTTGACGCATCAGTGACAAAAATGATGTCCGATGCAATTCCTTATTTTGACTTGTACCATATGATCCCATGCTTTTCCAGGTGAATAATTGTCTTGCCTTTGCATGTGCTTGTGACGGGTGTGACCGGTGGGGCAGGATACGCTCACCTTTTCGCGAACACCTGGTATCATTACTATTTGATAGTGATTTATAAACACGTGCTCATGATAAATCCAGAATTGTACAATCGCCAGTGCTTTATGCAGAGATTTCTATCGGATATCAATCTCATTAAAATCAGATCTTAGTTCTCGCTACCGCTAAACAAAGATCTGAGGATATCCCATTACGGGTCATGTCAGACCGACCTTTCGCGAACCCTGACCGACAAATGGAACAGCTGACAAGAAGTCGACATTAGCCAATCAGAACGAAGCTTTCTCGTGCTTTACGGCACTAATTTCAAATTGGCGACTACGCTTCGAAACATATTTTGACAAATTCTCGCTTTTAAATTTGAAATCTGAACAAACGTGTTCTGGAATGGCTAATAGATGGTCCAGATTGTATGGATTTAGTCGTTAATCCCGTAACTTTCGTTCGGAATACCCCATGTTAAAATTTTCGAGGTTGCATGATTAGAAATCAGATTCCGACTGTCACTTTCACGATCTGGTAAGCGACGCTCTGATTGGTCGGATGAAAGGTCGTACTGACGTGACCCCTAATGGGATGGCCTCAGATCTTTGTTTAGCTGTAGCGAGAACTAAGGTCTGATTTTAATGAGATTGATTGGATATGGAAGGAGTTTTGTCGCTTTATTTAATTGACACCCATTTATCTTTATACTTTGTTTATAATCATCTTTCTTCTTATTACAAACATCTTTAAAATAGTATTTCAACCTTTTATATTCATGAACATCTGTGTGAGAATTTGTCAAAACGGAATACATCAAGAGCATTATGCATGTCTTTCTTGGCTTGTCACAGACAGAATCCCCAAACTACCAGATTCAGTCATATCTCTTTTTATCCATTTTGTGAAATTGCTTATCATTAAACATAATTTATTCACAATAAGTAAATAGGATTGGCTACAACTTCTCCAACTTTGGAAACCTTCTCCCAGGCATTCACCCCATTGATTATACAGCTTGTACTATCCTTGAACAGAACAGTAGGCAGGAAAGCAATGGAAAGGTAAGTGACCAGTTTACACAAATAGTTTACATAATATTATACATGAAGTTTACACAAAACTCGTTGAATTACATAAAAAAATACAAATATGTACAAAACTGACTTTTTCACATTCCTCTTTCCATTTAATATCAAACTGAGATCAGTTGGTGTATTTTCGTCTATACTATTAATGGTTCAACGTAAAGTGTAAACATTCAAAAACATTTATATGTATTTTCACATTTTCCTACCCCACAAACATTCTGCTTTGTCTTTGGTTCCTTGCCTACATTTTATGTTTGTTTGTTTGTTGTTTAACGCAGCACTCAACAATAGTCCAGCTATATGACGGTGATCGAGTCTGGATAATAATCGAGTCTGGACCAGACAGTCCAGTGAGTGATATCATGAGCATCGATCCACGCAATTGGAATCGATGACATGCATCAACCAAGTCAACGAGCCTGACCACCCGATCCCGTTAGTCGCCTCTAACGACAAGCATAGCTGCCTTTTACGTTAAGCATGCTACCTTTAAGTAAAATTATTAATCGTGGTATGGGAATCATAGGCTGTGGGTCGACAGCCATTATCTAAGCCCAAAAATTTGTAGTGCATCAACATGTTGGCGAATACAAGATCAATACGTCAAATTAATCAGCAGAGGATTCCTCTGTCTAAAAATGAAATGTTCTACTGAAAAGAGTTGTTCATAAGGAAATTTGAAAATAAGGTCACTCACAGCATATAAGTCAACAAAATTGCCTCTTTACATGCTTAATGGTACATGTGTTTTTAGTTGATTATGATGATGTTGTTTACAGGAAATCAAACAATTTTCAACCTTATGGAAACACTTTATTGAACATGGGCATTTCCTTTCACATTTTACAAATGAAACTTTAAAATCTCATTTATTTTAAGTTTAGTCAGTGCTTTGTTTCCAGGTGTGTGAACGAAAAGAACAATTTCAGACACCAGATGATGGTTCCAAAGCACCACCTATAAAGTAGTGTTATCGCTCATGATCAGCATCAAATTGTTCATATTTGGAAATGGTGATTCAATAGTCAATATGCATACATAGAACTCTGTGCCCCTTAACACAGGCAGAGTATTTAAGTTGTTGCTATCAGTCCTAACGTTCATAGATGAAAGTCATCATCGGCAAAGTCATCCTCTTGAGATAAGAACAAATCCTGTCAACCTACTTTTCATTATTCTAATAAAAAAAACCTCAATAAAACAACAGATTGGTAAGACATAATCATATTCACAGAATCATTTCATCAAGACAATTGACATACACATAGTAATGCATTCAGTGCTTGATTTTCATGGGCTAAGCGATAAATTTGTAGGCGATATGTTCCTGCACATACACAATGCAGTCGCTTATAACAAAGGCATATTGTCACTGTTTGAACAGCGAAGACAAACAAACCCTAATGAGATCCCGCCTACACGGTCACACCCCAGTGATTGTTAAGACTACAAATCCTATCTACAGTTAGACAACATGGCGTCTAAATCCTATCAGAGACAAATGTCAAGTCTTTAAGCAGTGATGGTATTTTAGGGGTTTTTCTTCGAGCAAGATCGATCTTTTGTGCACGTTTATGTAGCCCGTTATTGTCACCTACCTTGACTGCTGCGACTGCTGGGACCATTAGAACGCAAATATGGTAAGATATATATGTATAACAAACTTTTAACTGCTTGTGTACTTAGAGTGCACGTTATCCTCAGAGACATCAATAGATACTGATAGGATGCTGACGCTGTGTCCCAATTATGTTGAAACTAAATTATTTACCCAAATTCCTTGCTTGGAGGCTTTCGTATCCGTACCCAACACACCGATGGTATTCCCTCTTGGCTAAAATGGCCATGCCATCCTACACGCACTCATGCAGCCATGCAGTGTCTGAAACTCAGCAGAGTAACTGAGAGCTTTAAGGGCCAGAACATTGAAACAATGTAGGCCCAGTGGGAAAACTGAAGCCCAAACATTTTAGCTGAAGCAGGGAGATATACTTTTGCAATATAAATAACAAAACACAACCAGTCAACCAGAAGCTTTCACTGCTTTTACATCGAGTTTAAAGCCGGTGAAAATCCGGGGTAGAATAGGTCTTCAGCAACCCATGCTTGCCGTAAAAGGCGAATATGCTTGTCGTAAGACAGAATAGAACAAAAGTTGAATGTTACAATATGACAGAATAGAACAATAGTAGAATGTTACAATGTGACAGAATAGTACAATAGTAGAATGTTACAATAACAGAACATTCCAGCAATATGACGGCGGTCTGTAAATAATGGGTTGCGTGGGCAAGCATGGGATGCTAAGGACCTTTTCTACTCCGGCTCATCGCGGGTGAGGTACATTAGTAGTTCAATGTACAATAGATACACCCACCCGTTAACGTGATCTTTCTACGAGTATGTAATGTGATATAATCGGAATCTGTTAGCAGAGATTGCTTATGATCTTGGTAAGGAGTTTATTAACTAATGTCATCGATCGGACGTGGCACACACATTATATGCGAGCTGGAACTTCGCACATCACACTCCAGGCGACATAACAGTAGTTGTTATGCAGAGTCCAATGTGTAGGCCTGTATATGACGGCACACAGTTCGGAGTCTAGAAAATTTGGTTCATTGGGATTCCATGGCTGAAACTGACCAACGGTTCCATCATACCACTTCCAATCTCCATCCTTGTATTTCAGGCCGGTCCAAACCCCTTCGACGTCTGAAATATAAGTACACGCATGCATGCGATTAAATACCTATATAATGTTAAAAACAGCATTTTGTGATCAGAGCAGTTCCCAGCATTTCCAATGCAAGATCAACATGTCTAGTGAAACTGTTCGGAACATATACTACTCAAAAAAGTTAAAGACCACCCGATATTTTCAAATGTCTGTGGTTTATCTTACGTATCATGTCCAAATAATTTTTGTCATATGAGTGAGTGAGTTGGGTTCAACGCCGCTTTTAACACTGTCAGTATTCCAGTTATATCGCGGCGTGTCATCTTAATGTGGGAAGTAAAGTCCAAAGTGATGCAGGTCTCAGACGTTTACCACTTCGGTGAAACCCACGAGCACGGGTATGGTGCTGACAAACCTAGAAACATAATCGGGGCGAACCTGGGTTCGAACCCACAATCATAGGTTTCCGGCGTGCCCAGGGGACGCAACTCTGCACAGCGAATCGCGGCGCCTTAAACGACTGGGGCAGACGTGGTCATATGAAAGAATGAAAGAATCAGGTTGTAATATGAAAAGAAATCGGATGATGTTTAACTTGTTTTGAGTAGTATACATATTTGTCACATCTAGTTAGTGGACAGTCCATTGTAAAAGAGATATCAAGTTCGATTGTCAAACACCCCAGTCGAGTTTCATAGCCTGTCGGTAAAATGCTTGTTTCCCATGGCTAAACTCTCAACTTCATAGTGATAACAAGAACACTTAATGGTGAGATTTAATGCAGTTTAATGTCTTTTTTTGCACTTATATAGTAGCATGAATGAACGTGTGTGCGTGTGTGCGTGTGCGTGTGCGTTCGTGCGTTCGTGCGTGCGTGCGTGCGTGTGTGTGTGTGTGTGTGTGTGTGTGTGTGTGTGTGTGTGTGTGTGTGCTTGGACTGTTTCGAACTAATATCGGTTTTATTGCGCTATCCCAGATAAACATTCCATTGCATCCGGCGTACTGCACTACGGCATTCGGAATACCACTTAACAGGCTCAGCATCCAGCGTACTGCATTGCGGCATTCGGAATACAACTTAACAGGCTCAGAATAAAGCGTACTGCACCCGGGGCATTCGGAATACCACTTAACAGACACAGCATCCGGCGTACCGCACTACGGCATTCGGAATACCATTTAACAGGCTCAGCATAAAGCGTACTGCACTACGGCATTCGGAATACCACTTAACAGGCTCAGCATAAAGCGTACTGCACTACGGCATTCGGAATACTACTAAACAGGCTCAGCATAAAGCGTACTGCACTACGGCATTCGGAATACCACTTAACAGACTCAGCATCCGGCGTACTGCACTACGGCATTCGGAATACCACTTAACAGGCTCAGCATCCGGCGTACTGCACTACGGCATTCGGAATACCACTTAACAGGCTCAGCATAAAGCGTACTGCACTACGGCATTCGGAATACAACTTAAAAGGCTCAGCATCACGTGTACTGCACTACGGCATTCGGAATACAACTTAAAAGGCTCAGCATCCGGCGTACTGCACTACGGCATTCGGAATACCACTTAACAGGCTCAGCATCCGGCGTACTGCACTACGGCATTCGGAATACCACTTAACAGGCTCAGCATAAAGCGTACTGCACTACGGCATTCGGAATACAACTTAAAAGGCTCAGCATCACGTGTACTGCACTACGGCATTCGGAATACAACTTAAAAGGCTCAGCATCCGGTGTACTGCACTACGGCATTCGGAATACCACTTAACAGGGCTCAGCATCCGGCGTACTGCACTACGGCATTCGGAATACCACTTAACAGGCTCAGCATCCAGCGTACTGCACTACGGCATTCGGAAAACCACTTAACAGGGCTCAGCAACCGGCGAACCAATAGGGGATAAGCATCCTCAACAATGAGGAGTGTGTGAGTGAGTTTTTATGCCAATTTGAGGTTCATGTAAAGAGGTAAACCAGAATATATTAAATTGATTCGATTGTCGTATCTCGTTTAGGGAAACAGACTCTTGCGCCTGGGTGTAAGTTTGCAACTTATCACGCATGGATAAGTATGTGAGAATCAAGGACAAACTCGCGAGAGGTACATACAATGAGGAATGAACAACTATTGTCAGTAACTCTGCGATAGGCATTTGTAAGTTGAACTTGAATCATACATGATACTTTGTTATGGATAACAACATTTTTCTTCTTTATAACGAGAAAATTGCAAAGAATAAAGAAGCTGTTATCCATAACAAAGTGTCATGTATTCATATTGTCAGTGACCGCCTCCGTGGTCTAGAGGTAGAGCGTCCGCCCGGAGAGCGGAAGGTCCGGGGTTCGATCCCCGGCCGCGTCATACCAAAAGACGTTAAAAGATGGTATTTGTTGTTAGCCTGTCTGACGCTCGGCATTAAGGGGCTAAAACAAGGACTGGTCGGCTCGGAGTCAGTATACTGTGTCTGAGTGAGGTATACATGTTAAACTGCGGCATGGTATCTCAGTGGGCTAGTGCTATAAATCGCCATCACACACACACACACGTGCATGCACGTCGCTATATAAGTGCAATAATCTTGAACGCGACGTTAAACTCCATTTCACCTCACCTCTAACCTGGGTACTGCCTGAGAAGTATATAGAGGTGAAGCATTCAGTACGTATATCTTAGTTTGTATATACATGAATACGTTATCTAGCAACAAAAGAATCGAGATAAGGCTGGACAGGGATATAAAACTATTTCGTCCTTTAGTAACCTTTGCAGTGAAGCAAGTTGGTATAGTCCTTCTATTTCTCCACTGCTAGATTGGATGAAATATTTTCATCACGTACATGCACGTCGCTATATAAGTGCAATAATCTTGAACGCGACGTTAAACCCCATTTCACCTCACCTCATATTGTCAGTACTTGATGAACATGTGTTAAGTGTTTACCTGTCCCAAGAAACTGTTTGATTTCTTCGTATTTAGCTTCAGTTTTAAAAGTTATCATTCGGTAATCCATTCCATTGAATGACTGTCCAGTGCATTCATTATCAGCATTCTGCCATGACTGTTTTGGTGTTGTCAAGGTAACGCAAACGGCCTCTGTTGTGAACAAGGTGGCTCCTGGGGGACACTTAATTACAGGTGTCACAGGTATTAAAGCTGAAAGGAACGAATGAGTGAGTTAATACTGTACACATTACACAATAAAAACTAGGACGACAGTACAAGGATCGCACATGTCACATATTCATAGTAAACTAATCAGTAAATAGTCAAGTCAAGTCTAGACCAGACAATCCAGTGACTGATACATGACCATCCATCTACGGCGGTCTATATGACGGCGGTCTGTAAATAATCGAGTCTGGACCAGACAATCCAGTGATTAATATCATGAGCATCCATCTACGCAATTGGGACACGATGACATGCATGAACCAAGACAGCGAGCCTTACCACCCGATCCCGTTAGTCGCCTCTTACGACAAGCATGGGTTGTTGAAGACCAATTTTAACCGAAATCTTCACAGGTCGCATTAACTGGAATGGAATGGAACTATATTTATTGACTGCTTGACACGATGACATGCATGAACCATGACAGCGAGCCTTACCACCCTATCCCGTTAGCCGCCTCTTACGACAAGCGTGGGTTGCTGAAGACCAATTTTAACCGAAATCTTCACAGGTCGCTGAACTGGAATGGAATGGAACTTTATTTATTGACTGCTTGACACCTGTAAGCTCATTATGTCTCGGCCAGGGCGGTTTATTTACAAGCCGCCATAATACAGCTGGACTATTGCTGCAGCGTAGAAATAACCAAACATAACGTATGTGAAATAACGGGGCCAAGGTAGACTTAGTACCATTTAAGCACCGCAATCCGATGTGCAGGATGACGTTCAAAAGCCGTACACCATGGCTTCGATTTGTTCCGATTGTGACCCTGGGTTTACCCTCATCATATCCACGGCTTGCACCATAGTAATACACACCTACGTCATGAAGCAAATCACCCGTGAAGATTCCGGGGTAGAATAGGTCTTCAGCAACCCATGCTTGCCGTAAAAGGTGACTATGCTTGTCGTAAAAGGCGACTAACGGGATCGGGTGGTCAGGCTCGCTGATTTGGTTGATGCATGTCATTGATCCCAATTGCGTGGATCGATGTTCATGATATTAATCACAGGATTGTCTGGTCCAGACTCGATTATTTACAGACCGCCGTCATATAGCTGGAATATTGCTGAGTGAGGCGTTAAACAACAAACCAACCAACCAACCAACCATGAAGCAAATCCGCCGTGATATAACGTAGATACATTTCAAAGCGGCGTTAAGCGCCATTCGTACGCCCAATGCCATGATCAAATACTGAGAAAATTTACAAACATGGGCGGATGAAGTAGTCCGTCCCGTCCCGTGGTAACAGTGATGAGGAGTCCTGCGTGTACACCTCCGTGGTGGGACAACACTGCTGACTTGCCTCGTGGTAGAAGACGGAGTTGCAGGGTGGGGTGTCGAGACAGCGCACGACGCACCATGTGGCCGTCGGGGCAGTCGTGATGGGGGTGCAGGGAAGGCTGAGGTTGGTAAAGAAGAGCGTGAGAAACACGTCCATGTTGCGTGTAACCGACTAGCACTCACTCTGTGGATCTGCAATGAAAATTTGATAAATCTGAACTGTTACGTTATATAGTGTATCTGATGACTCCGAAATGCTAGTATGTGATCATTTTAATGACCATTGACCTGCATCTTTAAAGAATTGATACTCGGGTTATAAAATCGTGTATTACAATGCAGTGCCATGGCTTTTATTTTAACATCCATGTTAACATCCATTTTAACTTTCATCGTAACATCCATATTAACATCCATTTTAACATCCATCTTAACATTCATCTTAACATCCATTTTAACATCCATCTTAACATTCATCTTAACATCCATTTTAACATCCATCTTAACATTCATTTTAACATTCATCTTAATATCCGTTTTAACATCCATCTTAACATCCATTTTAACATCCATTTTAACATCCATCTTAAAATTCATCTTAACATCCATTTTAACATCCATCTTAACATTCATTTTAACATTCATCTTAATATTCGTTTTAACATCCATTTTAAACTACCGGGCAAAGGTTGGCTTAATGGTTTTGTCATCAGTATTCCAGCTATATGACGGCGGTCTGTAAATAATCGAGTCTGGACAAACCAGTGATTAATATCATGAGCATCGATCCACGCAATTGGGATACGATGACATGCATCAACCAAGTCCGCGAGCCTAACCACCCGATCCCATTAGTCGCCTCTTACAAGGTGCCACCCCCAGAATATCCAATGGTCGGCACCTTAATGCTTGCTAGATTATTAGGAGGACATTCAAAACTATTCATTTAATAAGGACACGGTATAATAAGAGTCCCTTTTGCACGTCGAAATATGCAGAATTTATCCTTTTGGAAAAAACCCTTTACAAATCATTTTAAAGTTATTCGTTGTTAGATATGTTTATATTAATGTAAATTACACTTTGTTCATATCAACTATTACACGTTCAGGGTTTGTAGCAACAGGAAATTCATAGATAGGTTATTTGAGAGGTTGCAAGGAGCCTTTTTAAATGAGCAAATGAACATGAACAAGTCGTTGACCCAAGTTGATTTTCTTAGGAGATGTGAAAAACATAAACATATGGTAAACATTTATGTTGGGTCATAGACAACCGCTATTCTGACCATTTCGGAAGTCCCAAATCCTTGCAAGCGTACGAAAGAAAAAAGCCATAAATTTGAACATATTCAAACCAATATTTCAAAGTTTTCACTTCTGTATAAGACATTTCCTATGTACGCATTGGGCCTACCTTGTCCATTTAATTAATAAAAAACTCGAAGTGTTATCACTGGGAGACCCGTGAAGATCCGGGGAAGAATAGGTCTTCAGCAACCCATGCTTGCCGTAAAAGGCGACGATGCTTGTCGTAAGATGCGACTAATCGGATCGGGTGGTCAGCCTCGCGGACCTGGTTGATGCATGTCATCATATCCCAATTGCGTGGATCGATGCTCATGATATCAATCACTGGATTGTCCGGTCCAGACTTGATTATTTACAGACCGCCGTCATATAGCTGGAATATTGCTGAGTGCGGAGTTAAACAACAAACAAAACAAAAAACTACAACAGATACTACAGGATAATACCCAAAAATCAAATTTCGAATAAGTTTCTAAACAAATTGCCACTTCCTGATAAAAAAAAGGTGTCATCAATGGTGGAGTCAAGATGCCATTTTCTAAAGTTTCAAAAGGCCAGTAGTTTCTGTAGAGAAGCTGTTTTTGAGGCCGGAGAAGCTGATCGACATAAGCTCCATGACCATCGGACCAAATAGGCTCGACACAATGACACACGTAGTCGCTAACCGTCTCCAGCCAATATCAAAGAGAGATACCATCTATGGCAACAATGAGGGAAGATCAATATAACTGGTGAGTAAAGCAAACAAAACCGAACTACCGATTTCCGAACTTTCAATAAAACGCTGCATCATATACTCTCCTGAAAACGCAGGGGATATTCAAAAACAAAAGATGATTTGTGGGCCTCTTCCCCAGGCTTACATTCTCAGAGAAGACCGAGGAGGAGGTTATTATCGTTTACGTATAAACGAATGTTTAAACAATGGGGGCTTAACCCATTGTTGATCAAGTCATTTCAAACGCAATCTCATTAAAATCAGTTCTTGTTCTCGCTATCGCTAAACAAAGATCTGAGGACATCCCATTACGGGAGCGAGAACTTAGGTCTGATTTTAATGAGATTGCATTACCAGAAAGAATAACGTCGGGATACCTTCTAGTAAAACAATACAATGCGTCGCGGTATAAAAGGAATTGGATGAAAGCGTGCACAAAACTGAAGCCATGACATGCAAAATCGAACACCATTTCATCACCTGCCCGGGAGGCTCTGCAGGAAGAGAGGGTTACAAAACTAAACACGATATGTGAGGTTGTAGGTTCAGTTCACGTCAAAAATATTCACTGGACAAAGATTGTGACTTTTAACCAATCAAAAATCAACGTTGTGTTCACATCAAATTGCCATTTTATTAAATTCGACTGTAAAACCTTCCGAATGCCCGGGGCATTGTGGTGGAATGACCAGGATTTCCTGGTCAGTGAACACCATCGGCGATTCCCTAAGTTAAAACCTCTTAACATCACTGGTGTCTTGTCAGTAAGGTGAACTCCGGCGGCCTGGTGGGAGTGAACAGCAATTGGCTCTTTGGGCTCGGTTTCATAAAGCCAGGTTTCTGATTAATCGGACCTTGACTTGTCTTGTGCTGGGGCGATCATTTACACTCTGTGTGCATGAAACCTTTTCCAAAGTCCGCAAATCACAGACTGAGACACATTAAAGATATTGGCTACTTCTGGCTGAGTTGTACCAGTTGGAAACATGCAAATAAAGAAAGAGTATTACTGTGGGTAATGAAAATCAATAATACCATTGTGAAAGAGCGATTTGACGACCTGCCACTGAAGTGTCAAACATCAAGCATAACCCTCTATCCAAATGCACGGAGGAATTGCGTAGTCCACATGCAAAGTTTCGGGTGCGTTCGGCGCTTGGTCTGGGTTCCAAAAAAGTTCGATTATTGGCAGCAAAGTTTCGGGTGCGTTCGGGCGCTAGGTCTTGGTTCCAAAACCGTTCGGTTATTGGCAGCTTTTTTCAAACTTGATCTTTCTTCTAACGACCTATCATAAAATGTATATTTCACGATCCCCTACGTTTTTGGATAGTATAGTTTGATTTGTTGTTTTTAAACCGACCACAGCCAACATGACCGTTTCGGAAAAAGTTAAGATACGAAATTACTTAAAACTATTCCCCATCGGTATAAGGGTACAATAGCACTGTAACATCGACCTATAGCGTTGGAGTATATAAAATATCACAACAATTTTGCCAAGAGCATCTTAGCATTAAGACAGGGCCATCGGTATGATACAGACAGAGCCATCGGTATGATACAGACAGAGCCATCGGTATGATACAGACAGAGCCATCGGTATGATACAGACAGTGCCATCGGCATGATACAGACATAGCCATCGGCATGATACAGACAGAGCCATCGGCATGATACAGACAGAGCCATCGGCATGATACAGACAGGGCCATCGGTATGATACAGACAGAGCCATCGGTATGATACAGATAGAGCCATCGGTATGATACAGACAGAGCCATCGGTATGATACAGACAGAGCCATCGGCATGATACAGACAGAGCCATCGGTATGATACAGACAGGGCCATCGGTATGATACAGACAGAGCCATCGGTATGATGCAGACAGAGCCATCGGTATGATACAGACAGAGCCATCGGTATGATACAGACAGAGCCATCGGCATGATACAGACAGAGCCATCGGTATGATACAGACAGGGCCATCGGTATGATACAGACAGAGCCATCGGCATGATACAGACAGAGCCATCGGTATGATACAGACAGAGCCATCGGTATGATACAGACAGGGCCATCGGCATGATACAGACAGAGCCATCGGTATGATACAGACAGAGCCATCGGTATGATACAGACAGAGCCATCGGTATGATACAGACAGAGCCATCGGTATGATACAGACAGAGCCATCGGTATGATACAGACAGAGCCATCGGTATGATACAGACAGAGCCATCGGCATGATACAGACAGGGCCATCGGTATGATACAGACAGATCCATCGGTATGATACAGACAGAGCCATCGGTAAGATACAGACAGGGCCTTCGGTATGATACAGATGGGGGATACCCGTAGACGTATGGCAACAGCCTTAGGCTGCTCGCGCACCACAAGCACCAAACTGATGACTCGCTTCAGGCACACTGGCAATGTCAGGGACAGGCCTCGAAACGGCAGACCTCCCGTGACGAGGCCCACAGAAGACCGCTACCTTCGGGTTTTGTACCTCAGGAATAGATCCTTGATGAGGTCATCATCTTCAACCACCCTTGATCTTCCAGTCAGTGAAAGGGCAGTGTCTAGGAGATTGAGAATGCATGGTATTTAGATGTATAGACTGTGTAGTAACCCTAACACGCCAAGATCGACGTCAGTTCTCTTTTCTCATCGGTGTAGACTCAGTGTTGGGCAGGACCGAATCCCCAAAAACTCCCATGAGTCAAGCTGGCGGACACGGGCAGACACACATGGACCCTCCGCGACTGTGCCTTACTCAAAGACTGTTTGGGGAATGGCTTCGGATTCCAGAAGTCCTCATCAGAGACTGCATGATATTCGGACGTTCTAAGTTCGGCGTCGAGTTATAGTATGTTCTTTTATATCAACATCATGTGACCTAAAGTCTACATCATCAATATCAATATACAGCGACCTTTAGTCCACGCCAATCGATATCAATATACAGCGATCTTTAGTCTACACCCATCACTATTTCGTTATACTGCAGCGACCTTTAGTCCACACCAGTCACTAACAATATACAGCGACATTTAGTCGACACCAATCACTAACAATATACATCGACCTTTAGTCGACACCCATCACTATTTCAATATACTGCAGTGACCTTCAGACCACACCAATCAC